GGGATGTAAATGTGACGCGGGGCCAACCGCGATGACGACGCCTGCATAAACCCGCGGGCGCGATAAAAATGCATTAACACTGGGTCACAGCGCGACAGCAAGCCGGTCTGTGTCACACCGCATGTTTCTGCCTCCTACGGCCGCTGAAACGGGCGCAGCAGTCGCGCGCCATCGATTCCGCCTGTACACAAACAGCCAAGCACCACTGCGACCAGCCTCACGAAATGCTAAAAAATTTTCCAAACATCGTCTTTGTAATTCAGTGTCGACAGGCAAATATCTAAATGCACTTAAATATCTCGTTCTAAAGTTCCTTTCAACGAGCAGGTGTACTATATGTTCCTTCAAATAAAGTATGAAATAGACCATTATAACGTGTTTGGGTTTGAATTTGCTTTATCATGAATTGGAGCCTGTAAACACTGATCCTATCGAAATTCAAAAAAACTGTAACAAAACGTGGTACTCGTGAAGTGACCGCCTACTGGATATCGCTGAAGAAAAGTCTCATTGTGCATTTGAATTTATGGACAAATGAACAATAAAAATATTTTAAAGGTGGAAACCACAGTCCTTCTAATGCGTTTGGCTAATTTGTAAATCCCTTACCAACTCCCTATGAAAAAAGGAATGTATGTGGTATAATGAATTCGAGTAATTTATAATACTCCTCGACCACTTTTGCCACAGTTGTTAAGCTGCTACAAAATTGCCCGCAAAGAATGTCAAATTATCTGGGAAGTCTACTATCCATTTGTCTCTAGTCGATGATATTCAGATTTGCAGTAAAAAGTACTACAGAACAAGCTAACGAATTGAGGGAATGGCACAGAGATGAGTTACACAGTGATGACAAATTATGAGGCTATGCCACACAATTTGTCATTCTAATCAAAGGCTGATTCAAATCATGAGGTGATTGAATACAATGCGGTGAATAAACAAAGCGGACAGCCTTCCTTCCCTTCAATCCCGCCTTTCGGTAGAAGCACATCTTCAGCATAAGAATATCGTCCCTCGAAAAGCTATTGGCTAAACGCAATTACTGTACATAAAAGTATGCCGCTTTTAAGCAGAATGGATTAAACTTGGAAGATAATGTACCGAATATATTTAAGGCTTCTGGATCATTGGCGCGCAAAACTTTCTTTATTACATTCCCTATTTCCGAATGGAGCCTAACTGAATGAATGGAAGTCGCTTTAAAGAAAAAGCCAACGATACTTTACCATTGGTGGATTTATTACCAAACTAGATATGCGCGAATACTGCTTTGGCATTGAGCACTTTCTCCGGATGTTTGGTATTTCGAGTGCTATCCAAATGCCACTAATGTTTCTACACAGGCCATCGATTCTTTGATTTTCACAAAGTGCTGGGCACATTCCAGAGGCGAATTAACAATCTTGGCAAAATTAAGTTTCACTTTTTGTGCTGCCATGTACCGTTAATTAGCACTACTAATCTTTATTGCTTTTGCACCCACTCATAGCTGTGATCCGCAAACTTGTAATGCTTTGATAGTTTTTTGAACTCCTTGTTTTGATCTTGTGGGTACTGAAAGCTCCGCCTTTAACCTTCCTCTGGGTGGCATGACCGGGCCATGCCAGTAGCCCTCGATCCCAGCCATTCAGACCTATTAGTAGGTCTTCTTCCGTCTTCGGGGGACTAGAGATCCTAATAACTTCATCATGAAACTATTGTTAATTTACAGATCTATCGTTTGACGATTCCACCACCAGCCTAATCGACATTCAACAAAAATTCTTTGTTGATATTAGGCTTCTTCGCTGAATACAAACTTTACACAAGTTAAGAACTTTTATTATGAATTTCTAAATTTCAGTCAAAAGGCTAAAAAAGGAGGATTAATTGGTGGTAGACAACAAAAGCATTTTCAAAGGGATAAAAAGGGAAACGAAGAAGTCAGTGGGCTGAGGATAAAATGCTCATTTGGCAAACACATGCGCTTATCACTTTGTTTAACAAACAAGGCAGACAGGTCGTTTTAGATTCAATCCAAAACTCTGAGTCACTTCCAAAACCGAGTATCAGAGTTGACCATGGAATATCTCCTCATGACTCACAATAATTCTATGGGTAAGTGAACGTGATTTTGATCTTTCCATGCAGGAAAATGACAAAGGCGATGGTGGACCTAAGCGGCCAATGAAATGGGATTTGGACCACTTCCCCATTTCCATCAACTTTTCGGGATGGGTCAAATATCCGTAAAAGTCGAAATTTGGACGATTTACGCAGTGCGCATGATAGCATTGGCAGAAATTAATGTAAGTTTTGGCGAGATATTTTGCTCATTTTGCTCTGAGATAATGCGATTGCACAAAATCTTCCTAGTTGTAGGGTGTTTGTGAACCGATTTAGCGAATTCGATTTAGGAAGCTCTGCATTATGTGGCGAAACAAAATGTAACATTTGCTGGCTAATCGACCTGTGCCCCAGCCCTAATATTAATTTTTAGCTCATTAGCTTCATTAAAGGACTCTAATTTCTGGTCAAAACTATTTCAATGGGGGCGATTTCAATTATGTTTCGGAAAGTGGGAATACTCAGCACCACATACGGCAAGACTTTGAATGGAACAGAATGCTTCTAAGGAGGTAAATCACAACCCTTTAAAACGATTCAAACTAGAATTGTATTATTATCGAAAATTTAGCTTTTTGGCATAAATAAATTAAAATACATGCAGTACCGATGCCTGAAGACAAACTCAAGCTTGCAGTCAGCTCCATCAAATAACCTTAGAAATTCGGGAATACGAACTGCAAAATAACCTAAAGAGATATCTCAGATAAATTTCACCTAAAAGAGATTGCTCAATGAAAATTGACTTATGATTTGGCAATGTCCACTTTTCAAATCAAAGAAAAATAATGAAATGTCAGACTGTTGAGAACTAACAGACAAATCATCAACATCGGATCACTTTTGAGTTGAAGCACTCATTGAGCAGTGAAGAAGGTGACTGGTTTGATGGTTGTCACACCAAATTGCCGCAATAAGTGAAATTGTTGTTGACAAATTTGTTCTTGCTTCTTTGGCTGCGATATGTAACGGTTAATAACTGTACCGCGAAGAATTATTAACTTTTGGTAGATATGCAACACGTAGGTTTTTTTGTTTAAATGTTCGTTTTGGTAAAGGGCCGCCTTAGATCTCCGCCATTGTGCCTTCACCGGACGGGATGGCCTCCGGGCCGTGCCGCCATCTGTATGTCAAATATGTATATTCTACTTGAGTATTATGTCTTCTTTCGTCTTCAGGGAAGTCTCGGGGCGAGACTGATAATTTGACCTCTTTATGAACTTTGCAAAATAGTCCTTACGAATGGGGTGGCTAAGGCTATGAGCATTGGAACATGTGACCACGAGAACTGTTTAGTTCCATGAGATGACACCCACAATCTCGGATCCTGTGGCTTGATTCCCACAATTGTTAGAAAAATGGACGGTGTAAATTTTTCCATTTACACGGGGAAGCGAGCAACGCTACAGATTTATCATAACCCTCCAAACGGTCCGTAGAACATCACAATGACTTTGATAAAAGATAGAATTTCGTAATTGCAGGGTTTAGTTACAAGAGGAAAGATAAACCAAAAGAGCTTCAATGGGCATCCGATGCGTAAATAGGACGCGCGTCCCATGAATGAAATATAGCGGAATGGTATTCATTTGGATTAATGATTACCATGTTTTACGGTTTCCTAAAGTCATCCCCCGCTTTAGCTATGCTATCTGTAGACTGTCACTGTAATTACTTCTAAAATTGCATGCATCATAACGTCTCCAATAATAATTCAAATGCACCAATTATCGGAGGAAGTACACAGATTTAATGGTATCTGTAGTGCTTTTATTATTTGGTTTCGAGGGCACTTAAGGCTCTGCAATTATACTTCCACGAGGCTGCAAGGAGTCCAGACCATGTCAGTAGCCCCCAGCCCTTCACTACATCAGAAATATGTATTCCGTCCAGGCATTAGGCCTTCGTTCGTCTTCGGAAAAATCTCGGGGCGCAACATTTCAAGCATTACTTTTTACAAAAAGGTGTTGCTAAATGAACAGCCCACAAAATTTCGCAATTACTAATGTTTTAGTTATTATTTACCACAACACGTGTTTATTTGAACGTACTTTTAGGTGAACAGAGGTCAGCTTACTCCAGCCGCGTAGCTGAGAAGACGCAAACAACCCGAGAGGAGGAAATGAAGCCCAATCCTCTTTGAACTTTAACAAACTATAAACCCTGATCTCATTTCTTGAATAAAGACCTCCTTCACTGCCCAATCTTCTCGGTTAATAGGGACTAGATTAGAGGTGGAAGTGAGGAACACCGGATCCGTTGCATTACGTTATTATCCTGTAACGAGCTACAAAAATGGTAGGTATTTATACAAGTAACTTCCACTTTCCTAATTTAGAACCATTAGTAAGACATTATTTTTACGACACAATCCTGGAATAAAGAAAAAGTACAATTGATACGAATTGTTTTAGGGATCTGAAAATTTGACATAGGAGTTGTAATGTTGCTAATCAGATAATCAAGACAAAAAACAACAAAAAAGGTAAAATACTGATGCGTGTAGGCAATTCATTATCTAAACTGTCATATGAAAAACGTTTTAACACAGCATTCAGTGTGTGAAATACTCAACAAATCAAAATATATTTATAAGATTCTATTATGGGACCTAGTACTTTAAACTGTACCCGAATTTCCAGGAAAATGAGGCATTTACTTGTTAATGGTCTATCCACTAGTGAATCTGGAAGTTTTTAAGTCTTAAATTGTCATCTTGGACTCGAGTAGTTTTTTTGTTGTTAGCTTTAACTCAAAAATATCCGGGTGGTCAATTTATTTAGTACTCACTTGTGGCATAGCAGCCAGCATCAGAGCCGTTGTCGTTTGTTTTATTTGGCTACCACTAATACTTAGCAGGTGCCGCGTATTCCTAAACTCGTGTAGGTACAATGACTGATGCGGAGGATCCGGAGGAAAGTGGTGTGCCCGCGGTCAATCCATACAAGATGGGTACTTACGATCTAGTGCGGATGAGAATAAACAAGCTAATGGAAAGACCGGTTAGTTCTCAGCCGTTATTGTCAGAAAATTTCCTGCTTTGTGTAACTAGTCAGCGAATAAAATAGCCAACTACTGCACATCGGGACGATTCCCCCCCCCCCCTTACCCAAAACTGGGTGTGCAGTCAACGACATAATCGTTTTCGAAGCAAACATGCTCAGTACACTTTCACTAAGACGTCTACCACACCTAAGTTTTACTGACAGTTGCAGCCCCTTCTGTTGACTAGGACGTTCCCGTGGTTATACCGGAGTCTTCCAGAAGGAAGGAACCGAAGGCACCTCCCGACTTCGTTAGGAATGTTTGGGGTATGCGGTCCTTAACACCTGGCATTTGCTAAGGCTGCATTGTCTTCCGTGATGTAACATTTCTCATCCTAGTAATGTATTCCTAGGCTCAGCCGCTGGCGTTGGAAGTGGGGACTTCCACATTTATCGTGGGATACGTCGAAGAGAGTACGCCCGTCTGGAGTTTATAGAACAACAGGCCAAAGAGGTTTGTTGTGCAGCGTAGTTAACTACTTCAGCCATAGAAAGCTAAGGCTGACGCCTATATTGCAGAGCACGAAGCAAAGAATCGTGCTATCGAAGAGAAAAGGGCGAAAAAGCGAGCCAAAAGGCAAAGGCGTAAAGAGGCGCGGAAGCGCAAACGCAAAGGTGAGATTAATACTGACTTATGGGTACGTTAGACGGTACCGATCCCAGAACCACTGATGATGACTGCAGCGATCAGGAAATCGAGTGCACTGAAAGCAAATTGGCCAAGGCAAAATCGGACAGTGCCATCGACGAGGGTGAAGACTCAAAGTCAGAATAACTTCTGTGAATGTTGTATATAATGCTGTAATTAATTGATAGGACAACCCAGATTTTCATGGGGCCACGGTTTTGGCAAAGCTACACAGTGTGGGGGTGAATATTGGGCTGCTGGTTCCGCAAATTACGGCCGTAGTTTTTGGCATGTCTCTGCAACATCTCCAGCACGTCACTTCTGTATTCACTGGGAGCCTCTTTCTCACCTAAAAATTAGTGCAAACGCACCATCCAGTATGGGTAGAACGAACGTCCGTGATAGGGTGCTAGGCGTTATTCTTACCGACAACCCAGTAGAAGATATCCCAGTCGCATTCGGGTGTGTTTATCAGGTGGTCATAAGCCTTGAGCTGTTCTTCAGTCATCTTGCCGAGATGTTTATCAGCGAATGATCTAAAGGGAAGAAACCTGCGATAAGGGAGTGGCAACGTGTTTATCCGGATAGCTGAGTTAATGTATCGGGTCTAGAATCGTATTGGAGAATCTGTGTGAAATCAGACGGACGCCCAAGACTGTAATGCACACGTACATAGATTGGGAAACCGAAAACTGCAAAAGTTGTCACACTGTCAAACCTGGAAGGTGGCTTGCTACTAATGTTGGACTTACGCAAGTATAATCCCGTTTTCTAAGTTGCCTCTTTTGCGACTCTCGTATAGGAGACGACTCCTCATTGTCGCAACAGATTCACCCGAGCGAATTGGTACGGTGAATATCCGGCGATGACGTGTAAATAAAGGTACAACGCGTGAAGCTGACCCACGAAGGTAGACAGTCAAACGATTAAAAGACAGCACCATGATCTAAAGCATAGTTGCAAATCACTGTGCCAGCTAAAATAATATGTGGGATTAGAGAACATTAAAATCCGATAAAAGTCCCTGAACCTAAAAACAAGTTTGAGGAAAAGCGGCCATTCTGGACAAGCATAGGCTTACGCAACCACGCAGAAAGTTTAATAGTGATTGGCTAATGGACAGATTTACATTCTGAAAGTCAATAATATTATTATGGGAAAATGAAGCAGTTTGTTCCATTGAAGACGATTCCACTATCTTTGGCACAAATTTCAAAGTAGTTTCAGTGAATCTGAGAATGGTTTGCTGCACATTTTAAGGGTAATAGTTTCTGTGTTTTTATAAACATCCTTCCCTAATACCACTATTTTCACGCCTATTTTTTGAATATTTTAATTTGCAGGTATAATCATATCTCAAATCCACGAGTGGCTGTCTGGTGGCTGATTCTATGGCATTTAATTACGCCAGTGTGGAGCGAGGCTCCTCGGTCTCCGCTTCCCAATTCCTAGCGTTCCTAGACAAGCCCGGTTGGTTTGCTTTGGACATCTTTATTAAAGACGACAAGATGTATGGGGAAAATACAATATTCAAGAAGGAGGGGAGCCGCAGTCACTAGGTAAGGGAGAGGGCGATCCAGGTACAAGGTTCGAATTTTCTGCTCGCCTCCTCCCTGAAAGGCACATTTAAGCAACATAAGTATTACACCAGTACCTTCTTCATCACTATGACTTCGGGTGGCAGCAGTCAGCGAAGCTGATAAAAAAAACATTACTCCAGCTTCCATGGCTGAACATCTAGCTTTAGTATCACAGAATGTGAGGTCTGCCGTAAAATCTCACATAGGCGTTAAAAATTACAACTGAGGCGATTACCTTAACATCGTTTCTCAAGGAGGGCTAATGACAACTGAAGCGGCATAAAATTTAGACGCTTCGGTAGAATCCATTATGGAGCTGTCAATGTAAAGGCGTTAATCGTGTAAACAAGCGTCATCTCCACGTTCATACCAGCTGAGTGGAACCTGGACAGATAGGTAGATTTAGCGTCCCGGGACTCCCTGAAGACGAAAGAAGACACAATACTAGGGCAGAATATATATATATATATTCAACACGGAGAAGGTGTCTGGGCTATTGGCATGGCCCAAAAGGCCAGCCCACCCAGTGAGGTACAAGGGGGCTAGTTCGAAGTACAAAAAGTGGCGCCTCACCAGAACCGAGGGATAAACTACTATCGTATTACATAGACGTCTGGGCAGCGCTGATTTGAGAGCAAAGTGGCAAGGAGGAACAGATGCGGAACACTAACTTCTTGGAGCTACTTCAAGCCTTGTATTTTATTATATGGCTGGAATTTCGTTCCATTTTCCCGATGACTAGTGGTTGGCCTACAGTGTGCCTTCATTGTAGAGTATCATTCCGTCTTGAGCAGTATGAGGTCACTGTATTGCCTTTCCCTATGCATTTTAACGATAGGGCGAGATTGAAAGTGCAGCAGAATCGTCAAGTTGCATCAATGACTTTGGAATTTAATGTCTTACCACACACTAGAACGTAGAATGATTGGTGTTCTCCATTTACGGATGATTTTTTTTAAGCACTGACCTCGTTGTGCTGGCTGATGCCGGAGGTTGACCCAGGGTAGTGCCAAGAACGCCACTCAAAGGAAGAGTTTGATCTCACTGTGGGTCTAACTACGTGGGAACTTTAACCCCCTAAATTTTGTTTACTTTCTCTGGCATAGCCTTTGGGCCATGTTAATAGCTCCCCTAGGTATTAGCAGTGCGTGTTTATCAACAACTACCTTGCCGTGTCGCTGCTCCTAGGGTACAGCCAGGGCGCTGTGTAAGCTCCTATAGTAGACGCGTAAATCGCTAGAAGTAAGAAAAGTTCTATTAGATTTTTTCAACTTCAAACGTGAATGGTCGAACCTGTACGTTCTAATTGATGTACCCAAATCGCTTCGATTAAAACCGCGGCTGGGAGGGATTCTGATTTCGTAGCTGATGTGCGCCAGAATTTGGTACTGATGTAGAAATTTATCGGTTTTGTTAGCTTTTGTCAAGAACAAGTTACCGAAATGTTTAAATAATTACTCCAACCGCAGTTTAAAGAGTCGCTGACGGGTTGATATTTCCGTAGGTTGTCACCGTAATTCCTTATTTTTACGGGAGAGCAATCTCCGAGTAATGCCTTACTGTTACTTCAGTTGTTAAGTACAGATGCTTGCTATAAATTTTGCTGACCCTATTCCAAGCGATTGTTAATAAAGAGCACCTGATTTCTGCATAGTACGAAGTTAAGCCAATTCCCCATTTCCAGCATGCACTAGGCCGCGGGTTCTCTTCTAAAGCCAATGTTTAGCTTGCAATATATTTAATAACAATATATCCATATACGGGTACATTTATGTGACAACTAAAACTCATTTTTTAAGGGACGAAAATGCTCAATGTACTTCGCGGAAATTCATGTTTGGCAGGTATGCTATCTTCCCATGCGCTTAACAGTGTATTCACCTTATTTTTCACTGATTAACTATTCTTCCTATTCTGAATTGTTCGCCACAACCCTATTTATTTTGTTATTTTTAAGTTGGGATGATGCATTCGATACTCTTAGGTCTGCTGCTAAAAAGCTGTTGGACGCAGTTATTGGCCGTAGCGCACGATGTCACACTGGTTTTTGACGTCAAACTCTACCTGCGAAAAGCACTCTTTGCCTTAGATTCCTAAACAGCTTTATGAGCATTTATGCAGTCTCCATTCCAAAGGTAAATTACTTCAGTAGGCGGAAGATGGCATGATGTAAAGACAAGTGTAACCCACATTTCTCAAGCTCAGTTGCAGGTTAAGCTTTTCACGCTGTAAATAGATTTTATCGAAGTGGTGGAAATGCGTAACATTGTGTAAATGCATTTCCTCTTAAATCGTTTTCGTCGATTCATGCCTTACTTATTCCATGGAAGGTTTCGACAAATGAAGTAGGTCAAGAGATATGGAATGGAACTGAGGTAGCTCTCATCATCTCATTTTTGTGAACAAATTGCACCACAAGGCCACCTGACAGCATTTTTGCGGCAGTGATCATGGATCGACCTATTTTGCGGATGTTTGTGAATTACATGCTTCATAATAACTCCAAAATGCATTCTTTTTTTAGGGTAAAATATGGGTTGAGTTGCAAAACGTGGTGTTTAAATACTTTAATTATACCTCACTTGGTCTTTGTAACTCCGATTGTTTTGGTGATTGATAAAGTCGAAGCTGCTAGCAATTAAATTAACTTGTTAGTTTTTAAAATACAACATTTGCCAACCAATGTTACACTTATTGAGTCTGCAGCTCAAGGAATGCAGAAAAATTTCTCGAATGTGATGAATTAAACCCCTATTAGTTATTTGATAGAATAAACGGCTCATTATTTTTTTGCGGGAATATTTTAGGTTGTGAAGTGAGCTAAACGGAAGAAGGGGATCCTTTAAGGTTCATCCAAGCCGTATCAAGAAGATTTTTACTTTTTTGAGGGGAAGTATTTTGCTCATAGGATTCGAAAACTGATGCACCAGCGCTCTTGCATCTGACCAACCCTCTATCAGCAACATTAACCTGCCAAACGCTGCAAGGGTCAAACTTCCGTTCACAAAAAACGCTTGTTCTTCAAACTACTTGCTGATTTTGGCATACTTAAAAAGCCTTTATTGGAGGGAAAATGTGGAAGGAGTTCACAGATGCATATCTCGCCGGAGGCACCTTCTTGCTTTGCACTTTTACAATGATGATGGATTTTCGAAAAGCTGGATATGAAAAGTGACATGAGTAGACAAAAGTAGCAAGAAAAAGCAGGTGAGGTCCCTCATTAAACATTGACTTTTCCTGTAACGCCTCTTTATTTCTACTTTCTTCAAAAGTGTACCACAATTAAAGAGAAGGAAAATCTCTGAAATCTAGGTAAACAAAAAACACTTGAAAATACGCTTCAACTTTCAAGAAACATTTAAAGAGGTATAATAGTGATAAATGCTTCGTTTAGTGTGTAGTAATTATCAGCGCACCCTTAATCAGTCGCAAATAACATGCAATTTTTAAGTTGTCAGTCACACGTCAAGTTTGACTGGAAAACTTAAGGTTTACAAGCACAGAGCTGATACAGAGTTAAGGCAACTCAAAGATAATGGCCGTTATTGTGAGTTTTGTGGGAGACAACTTCACTTAGAAAACCTCGATTGCAGGAATTACCTCTTCCAGTGGTGTCTATAACGCTTAAGCCTGCGAAATTAAGACGGTTTAGGGTTGTGAGAGTCATCATCTAAAGTGTTTGACTCAGAAAACGACAGCATTCGACGTGCTATAAGTAAGAATCATTTATCTTATTTGAACATTTAAGGCTCTCACTATTTCAGTTCACCAATGTGGCGGCCTAATGCCCATATAAAATGCGTCAGCTCACCCAGTGCAAGTTCCAGCTTTATCGCTCAAGACAAATTCTTATCGGAAGGTAAAAAATTCCCTACAAAGGGTAATAGACATCTGACTAATGAAATTTTCAAATACTCAGCAATTTCATTTTTACTACACTGCCGGCGTACACGAGCCTCATTTCTTTCTAAAATGGTATTCATCTTCATTGTCCACACAGACATTTTTTGAATGCGAAACGATTGTGTCTCGGGTGTTTATTTTTTTGAAGCAAAGTGAGAATCTTTGAAGATTGTCTTTCATCAGTGGATAAGTTAATTGCATCAAAATTATCTCTTTGACCAACTAATAATGCTCTGATGTAAAGTTACTGAGACTAAAGAGGTGGAACTAACAAACGCACACATTTCTGCTCAAACGTTGAAAAAGGCGTCGTCCCCTGATACCACGAAAGTACTAAGAAATTGTAACAAAAATTAGGGAAAGAAAGTATGCTAGCGCCATGCGCCAGTGGAGAGCGCTGACACCAAACCTCGAAAGCGCAGTGGATATACCGACCATAGGCGATGCTCCCATTGCGTTT